GGTCATTATTTACTTGGTTAGGATTTGGAGGAACTTCATTCCAGTTACTTGACACAATTCCCTCATCAAGAGGYTCAAATGGTTTGTGCATCACAGATGGACGGATCCTGTACAGCCAGCTGTGMAAACAATAAAAACTTGACATCAAAACCTTGGATATGACATTCAAGCCAGTTGTGAACTTGATATAATTTATAAGGTATGTGTGTCTTCAACCATAGATAAATACCAGAAAATACMTGACATGTACAGTAAAGTGTTGATTTTTGGACAACACAAAATTGACAGCCTGTTCTTACATTCGTTTTTAAATAATTTATTTAAAAATAAATCCCAATTCGAAAGAAATAACTAAATATTTCCCTTTAGCGTAGAAACTTGCTACTTAATTATGCTCCTGTCCACAAGTTTAACCAAGGGTTGATGACGTATTAGCCTTCTCTCTATGTAACCCTTAATTTTACCCATTTTGGACCCGTCGGGTTACCCCTTGGCCAGGCAGGGGCCTCGGTGACAAGGATTTTTTTTTCTCCTGTGGAGATGTAATCCCATAACCCCCTAAGGTCATATCAGAAAACAGGTAGCCCAAACATATAAAAAAGGAAAAAAAYCTGGAAAGACTCCTGCAAATCATGTGGTTGTCATAAATAAATACTTGATTTTATGAAGAATTTCAGCTGCCTTTCCTTCCATGTACAGATATAGTTATTGTAAATTGTAGTTTAAATCTATTTGGCGAAATACAATATATGTACCTTCGAACATTGTCTTTACGAGGGGCTGTGAAGGCAGATCCAGACAACTGTTCATTATATAGACCATAGGGACATTTCTTGGGGTTATTCTGGTGAAGAAATTAAATTTATCGAATCTAATTTTGTCATGTCTAAAGTTATTTTGTTTTACACCTTCAAGGGTATAAAACAAGTTGGTACTTTTGAAGTGAGAGATGATTGAGTGATCAAAATCACAAATACAATCTTTCTGAAATAGATATCGAGATAGCACACTGCTAGTGGAAATGTTGCAAAAAAGTCTAAATTTAATAGTTTGAAATTAAGCTGTATTAAAGCTCACCTTAATAACTTAGAGCTTATGGTATAAGCTTAATTTTTTTTGTAAAATCGCTTAATAATAATAATGAGTAAAACTATAAGGCACAAATGAAATTGTATTTTTTTAATGTAAGAATTCTTTGGAAAAGAAYGAAAGAAAGACCCCACCAGACTAGTATAGCACACCACATGAGATTGCGATTTTATAAAAATACCTGACCCTTGGGAAGAGCTCCTGGAAGAGCTTCAGATGCAAATTCATTACCAAATCCTGACATGTACTGTTGATCAAAAATAATAACAATCACAATTTGCTTTCAAAATAAAAACAATTTTGTTTATGACTCAGCATTCACCTTTAGATCCGCCATCTTGTACTCGTGGAAGAATAACCTAGTGCATYATGGGTATTTACAATCAAGGTTGTCTGTGATTGGCTAGTTTGTTGACACACCTCCGATACTCCCTTGCTTTTGTTTCGAGATTGAAAAATTGAAATTAYGAATAGGACATTTCAATGGGAAGTGGTCGTAAAAATTGAAATTTGAAGGGATAAATATTGTTTAAAACCTTTATTGGGAATTTTTGTTTAGTGCAATTGTTGTGAATGTTTCACAAATAAAATTATAGACCAAGACTTTGTAAGAATGAGAAACCTTTCATTGAATGTCTTTTAGCCACAAGCAAAATGCTGTCCTTCGCCCACCAAAACAACACAAGGGAATGCATGTGCAGTACAAAATGCCTCAATTGTCTGTTTTTTATTAATTTTTATAATGATTTCTTTTGAACATTGAAGTCGCGATGCAACACTTTCTGCTGTAATTCTGCTCAAGCTGCGTATGGTCTATTTCTCTGTATACTCTCACAAAACATGCTACTGAAGGGCAACTTCACTATTTTCAATTTTTAATATTTTTAAGTAAAAACAAAATCAGTATAAAGTCTTATGGTACAAGGAATTATCTGACATAACCTTGAAAGTTGAAAAAATCTTTGTACTATATATGTACCTAGAGTTATAACCGGACTTAAACTGTGCAACTATACAAACTAAATAGTGCTAATAGTGCATGCAGTATGCAAATTGAATTGATGAAAATGAAGCATTCAATACCATCTTRCTTCAGGTCCACTTTTAGTACAAATTAGTACTGCTGTACTTAGATTTTGTACAGTTGCACAGTGCGATCACTCTACAATCATTGCCAAAATGTGTTGACATAAGTGAGAGCCTTTTATTCATCCCTCCCCACCCCTGGAACAAAGCACCATCACTCTGACAACAACAGGTATACAAACTAACATTCCACTGTCTGTAGGGGGAGGGRTGGGGGTGCATTTGTATGAATAATTGTGAACACAAGCAAAAACACAAATAATTGTGTGCCAACAATAGTCTTCTTCACGGCTCCCTGCGCCATCTTGAAAGGTAGCCATGCCTTTGCATTAAAGCGAGGTGACCGTTGAGCGTGCAATGATAGAAACCTTCTTTCACACTTACAGACCATTATTCACAGGTATCTATCATTGCACGCTCAACAGTTGGCATACGTGTAATTAAGCTACCTTTCAAAGTGCATGTAACCGTGAAGGAGACTATTTTGTCAATGAGTGTACCAGAAATAATTGTTATTTCTTAAAGCGACACTGTCAATGGATGACATGCGCAGTAACAGTCTTGCCTCTAACGGATGCTAACGGACTTTGAAAGTATTTTCTTCAAGGTAAATTAATGTTTTGACACACTTTGGAATATTCTAGATCTATGTTTACGAGTACTTTTTTTGTCATGCGTCGCGCCAACTTGTAGTCGTAAACTTGAAAACAGTAGCCTAATGTTTTCAAGTTTGCTTGCGCATGTGTGCCATTGACAGTGTCCCTTTAATAAGTATATCGCATGCTGTCTATTTTATTTCCTTATTTAGTGTCCATTTCTTGATGTAAATGTGAAAATCCTATGATTTAATGAAGTCCTCCACTACTGTGTTCCCTTT